TATGCAGCTCAGGTGAAAGGCCCTGTGTTTGGTCCTTTTTGACGGCAGAATATTCTCAGTGAACTGTATACTAAATAAAGGATATGTTGACCTAGTGAAGCATGGGACCTCGGGGAAAGAAGATTGAAAAATCAAACTAACAGAGATCCTTAATGAAGAGGGTTTTGTGACCTTGAAGGGATATTATCTTTTAATAGAGTAGAGCAGAAAGATATTTTTAGAGCTTTTTCAGCTTGAAAGAGAGGTCTCAAGTACGTGCGTCAGGTAATGAAACCACTACCTGCTCAACTTTTTGCCATTGCCACCACCTGTTTAATGGTCCTGTCTTGCAGTTGTGACTATGCTTCCAACTTCCAATAGGCAAATCATTGGGAGAAGAAGGTGTTACCCTTACTCAGGTTTAGCTTCAGGCACATCATGTGACATAAGCATGAAGTCAAATTAGAGTGAAGGTAATGGGTGAAAAATAGAGGAGATAATTACAGTGCTTCCCCCCCTAAAAAAATGTCTAAGGGTACTCTCATTTTGACTCAAGTAAACCACCATTTTATAGTTCAAATCGGGGAAAATAAATACAGTAAATGGACAAAATTACTTCCAGATTGGCATGAGGTTGTGTGCACTAACATCTTCCTGATTCCACACATCCACATTCCACACTGCTTCACACATTAAACGCTCATTTCCGTCTGAGACTCAGGAAACACCGGGAAAGGAAATGAGGCCACCATCGGGGGGTAGTAACAGAACTGACGATTCATCATGCTGACGATTCTTCCGTTAAATTTACAAAATGTTTAGGGGCATGCGTACCCCTGTGTCCCCCCAGAAAAAAACCACACACTGGATAAATATATACCTTGAAGCAGTCAGGATCACAATTAACCACCACTAGTAAATTTACACTTTACTGCTCACTGGAAGGACAGATCCTGAAGCTGAGGCTCCAATACCATTGCATGAGAAGAGATGACTCCCTGGAAAAGACCCTGATGTTGGGAAAGACTGAGGGCACAAGGTGAAGCGGACGACAGAGGACGAGATGGTTGGACAGTGTTCTCGAAGCTACCAACATGAGTTTGACCAAGCTGGGGGAGGCAGTGGAAGACAGGAGTGCCTGGCGTGCTCTGGTCCATGGGATCACGATGAGTTAGACACAACTAAATGACTAAACAACAACAACAAGTGCATCTGTTCATGCCCCAACCCAATTATTAAAATACTCCTGAACTTTGCCACCTGTGAACAGTGTGTGCGTGAAGTTAAGCTGTGGGGATTTCAGATCAGACCTATGTTGTACAACCTGTTAAACTGTGCCCATCTTTAACAGTCATCTAGTGGTTAACCTTTATCTACTTATCAGCCAGAGCTGCCATCATCAGCACCCACCACAGCCCTGGACTCAATGTGTAGCCACACAGGCAAACCATCATCTCTCAGCCTGCATCCTCCACCTGCAAAATGTAGATAATAATGGCCTACAACAAAAAGTTGCAAGATAAAATACTGCTACACATTTTATGCATTGTGGTGGTATAGAAATTTTAAAAAGCCGTCGTACGATTTACTGCCCATTATTCCCACATGGGCACTTAGAATCATGTGTTCCCCAGCAATTGTCAGACTATGTTATTATGATTTCCACCCCTCTCAGGCAAGCAGGGTGCTTTTTCTTTTTCTTTTAAACAAACCCTAAAAACACAGGCAGCTGCAGAAGAGAAAGGGTTAAGTTAGTCATTTTTGCTGCAGTCCCTGCCGGGCGGAGAAAAATGAATCACATTTCATTCTGCTCTCAGTCAGCCAAGATTGCTCTATAATTTTGTTTTTAGTCATTCGTGACTGAGACCTTCTCTGGGAAATTTAGTCACCCAGCATTTTTGCAGTTTGGCCCCAGTTGGTTTAAGTCTTGGGAGAAATGGCTTCATATTGCAGCAGCTGAGAGAGGAGCAGAAGGGAGAGCTGATGGATGTTGATGGCTCAATCTGCTGACATTTGCTATTGTTTCTCTATCCCACCTGGCCACCCAGGGTCATCCAATGCACTCCTTTATGACCTTCTGCAAAAGATTCCAGTCTTTAATGTCATAATAGCTTATGGCCTCAGACAGTCAAGTAGTTTAGGACCTCAGTTTGACCTGTTTTAGAAGCCATTATAAACTAATGTGAATAAAAACAACGCGTTTCCCCCAGTGCCCTCTTAATGCTTTGTAAAAATATTTATGAACACCCAGCAAAGAAAATAAAATCCAGACCACTTTTCTTGTCTATCATCACCACATCCAATGATCTGAAATCCTTTAATGTATGTATGTGCATGTGCATCAGCCCTGGGGTGCGGGGACGGTCTCACATATCATATATTATTGTGCCAAATTAATTAGGCAAGAATTGGTCATTGCTGCCCAGATAGATTATATTATTTACGTGCGTAAATGGTCTACAACTTTTTAAACAATTTAGTTTTTTGGAAGTGAAGTGTGTATGTGTGAATGCAAAGACAAGTGTTTGAGGATGTGCTACTGGCCCTGATCCTGTGCCTTACAGTGAACACCTTGTGGAGACAGGGAGGCTTCTCTTGCCACTTGTCTCAATGACAGGCTGCTGGTTAAAGGCACAGGAACAAAGTCAGGGAAAAGCTGGCAATCAAGACCTGGAACCACGGCTGGATTTAGGTGTGATGAGGCCCTAAACTACTGAAGGTAATGTCTAGCTGTCCTTTGTCAACAACAAATTGTCGTTGCTTTTTGTGTTGGATATATGCCAAATGGTAATTTATGGACCTAATAGGTATCTAAAGCCATTTGCACATGCAGAATGTAGGCACCCTATATATAGAAATGAGCAAACCAGTGATATTGTAGGGAGCAGGCTAGCAGGCAGGGCACATTACTTACATCACAGGAGCCTACACAACACAAAACACTGTTGCTGTATGTAGGTTTTATTTTATTTGTTTTTAATCTTATATTTTGGAAATGTACATCCAGTTCCCCCCCTTTAATTTTTTTTGGGCCCCCCAAGAGAGTGGGGTCCTAAGCTATGGCTTCTTTAGGTTATACGTAAATCTGGCACTGCTTGGAACCACTGGGCAAGGGAACAAATGCAAGAGGACAGAGAGTAGCCATTTCCTTATTGGCTCAATTCTTGTCCCTGGCATGGAGAAATGAAGCAGGTAACATTCCCCACCCCAACTTAACTCTAAGCTTAAACCCCTGCTTAATTTCTGGATGTCAGGCTTCCCAAAATGTCATTGATGGAAGCAAGGACACTTCCTTCATTTTAAAATACATTTTATTTAAAAAATACATTCATATCTTACAGACAACTGCGGCAAAAAAAGAATCATATAACCACAGACCAGCAGAGAGAGAGAAAAAAGTCTGTTTACATGTCAGCAGAGATGATTCAGATGTCATATCAGCCAGGGGCCCCCAGGAAGGCAAAATAAAAAATTGCAAGGTAAGTAAGTACATCCACCTGTCCAAAATAATTTGTGGGCAATTCTTGTGTACCATTCCTAGTCTCCCAGCAGCACCCCCTCCCTCTCCCTCCACTATTACGCCCAGCTAATAGGTCTCTTCCATCTGCTGTACACTGAACCAGGTAGGGGTCAGCTGTTGGGGAGGTTCCCCTCCTCAAGCAAACAGCAGATAGGTGGGATTTATTCTCTTTAAAAGACTATGTGCACAATGCTGTAGGATCAGAACCATTTTCTCTCCAGCTGCCAACCGCCTCCTAAAGCAGGTGTCTTAGTAACCTAATCATAAGTTTCGTTTTATACAAACAACCATGAAGCATCATATTTACTAAAGAATAGCTGGAACTCAAACATATCCAGCAACATTTAGTATCTTGAAAGGCAATTATGCGGGGGATAGCAGAGATACGGCACACTGTCATTTTGTGTTTAGACAAGCAAGCAAGAATTAACGTAGTCACCGTCTGGGTCTGCCCACATGATTTAAAAGCAAAAAAGTGTACAGTACTATATAGCAGGAGGGGCAGGTGGGATAAATCGCAGCGCAGCATATTGCCATGTCTAATAGTTTAAACAAAAGGCAAACCAGACAAGATGCTAAACACATCATTGGCAACCACATTAATTGGAAAGGGTAAGTCCATGGGCCCCTGATTTTGGGTGGGGCCACAGAGCAAGGAGAAGAGCTGTCCCCTTTCCTCCCCTGCTGCAGGCCTGACCAACACCATCCCCACATCTCCTACTAGGCCCATGTGGGTGGCGCTGTGGTCTAAACTACTGAGCCTCTTGGGCTTGTCGATCAGAAGGTTGGCGGTTCGAATCCCCGCGATGGGGTGAGCTCCCGTTGCTCGGTCCCAGCTCTTGCCAACCTAGCAGTTCGAAAGCATGCCAAAAAGTGCAAGTAGATAAATAGGTACCACTGCGGCAGGAAGGTAAATGGCATTTCTGTGTGCTCTGGTTTCTGTCACTGTGTTCCATTGTGCCAGAAGAGGTTTGGTCATGCTGACCACATGACCCGGAAAGCTGTCTGTGGACAAACGCTGGCTCCTTTGGCCTGAAAGCGAGATGAATGCCGCAACCCCATAGTCGCCTTTGACTGGCCTTAACCGTATGGGGGTCCTTTACCAGGCCCACAAGGGAATCCTACATTAACCTCCCCTACATTAGCTTTCCCACACACCACAGTCCCAACAGAAATCTCCCCTGCCACCACACACCAGCTGTGTCCAACTAATGCATGTGGGTGTGGCTTTTAAAAGGCACCCCCAGTCCCGCCTCGGAAAGCAAAAAGATCAGCAGTGACTCCTGCAGGCTTCCTCTAGAATACACAGCCCTCATATGGAGGGATGCCATAGGATATGAACACTTTTCAGGTGTTACTCAGGTGACGAGGGAAAGCAAGATGAAAGGGACCATGAGGCTGCTGGGGGCAGCATACATTCAAAAATGGGGAGTCTGCTCTAGGCGTAGAGGTTCCCAGCATGATTTAGAACAAAAACGGTGCAGGGGGTTTCCATGCTGTGGGATAGCTCAGCCGGTAGAGCACAAGACTCTTAACCTCAGGGTTGTGGGTTCGAGCTCCATGTTGGTCAAAAAGATCCCTGCATCACTGGGGGTTGGACTAGATGATCCCATGTGTTCCCTTCCAACTCTACAGTTCTATGACTCTATGTGGAGAGCAGCAGATGGGGCAGCCCCTTGCACAGCATGTGAAGGCAGAAGGTCACCTTAGGTTCTCCAACATTTTTACGATGCTCTTCATTCCCTGGCACTTCCTGCCTGAGGCAGCCTCCTCACTTTGCCCAATGGCAGGGCCCGGTCACTATGCTTGCCCCTTCCACATACCGTAACTAAACGCTGAAGAGGGCCATGGCCAATGAGAATGCTGATGATGGCAACGTTGGCCGTAACTGCCTTTGACAACCTTTCTTTACTGGCCCTGCTCCTGTGCATTTCAAAGCCACACGAGTTGCTTTTTCTGGGCATGAAGTTCCGGGATGGGAGAACGTAAGACATTTCAGACACGGGTGTCTCCCAGTCCTGCCTGCAGATGCTGGGAAACAAACCTGAGACCTTCTGCAGGCCCAGCCACATGCTCTGTCACTGGACTGCAGTCCTTTTAAAGCTCCAGCTGTTTCTTTTCTGTGCCTCTGGCTGGTGGTCAAGGCAGTGGGGCCAGGCCAGTAAAAAAGTGGGGCTGTCTTAGCTCGTCATTGGAATTCTCCGATGTGTTTGTACGGACCCCCTCCGCCCCCACCCCTGCTTCCCAGTGGTTGCTCATGTAATGATGCTCTCGGTGAGAGCAGCAAGCTCCAGTGATTTCGGTGGAGACGGCATGCTTCCTAGATTGGGCTGTTAAGTCAGCATTTCCAGGCAGTTAGTGACTGACTGACAGAGGCAAGAACCTGAGGCCATGATTGCCATTATAAACCTCAGAAATATATAAAAATTCAGAGGGTGGGGGGGGAGGATAAAGGAAATTGCCTTTTTATGTGCTAGAGAATTTAAAGTTGAACGGCATGTTGCCATGGCTACAGTATTTGGTTTGCTGTGTTATTGCTTAAGACTGGGGGGCGGGGGGGGGGCGGATCCTGCTCCCTGCAAAACTTTCTAAGTTTCGTGGAGCCTGTTTCAAGCTCTGTGAAGTTTGTAATGGGTGGTTCTTAGCATCCAGCTCATTTTGTTGTATAGACCAAGGAATCGCCCACACGGTGTAGGGCACCACACTGAACCTGCCTCAAATCACTTTTTAAGATTGGGCCATTGTCCTGTTTGGCACCATGAGGCCATTGGGTGGGGAGACTGCCAAATTGTTCCATGCATTTCAGAGAGGGTGCCTTTTTCCTTAACCCCCTGCCTGATTCTTTTACATTTTCCTTCCTTACCCCCTGCAAAAAAAGGACTGATGTGTCTCATTGAGGAATCTGCTTCATCCCTGCTGTGGTCTCTGGCCTTTCTTTCACAGCCAGGGGTGGGAGGAGAGCTTGCCAAATCAGTGCCGGCCAGAGAACTTCTGCTACCTTGAAGTGAGACTAGATAAGCAGGCCCCCATATGGAGACCGAGCTGGGAGGGTGTTTTATCAGGGAGGAACACAAGCTCAACGGAGGCCTTGCAGTTTTACTTCAAAGGGGGTCAGGACAATAGACACCCCCCGCGCTCCTGGAGACCGGGTGGGCAGGCAGGTTATTAACATCCCAAATAAAGAACAAGGAGCCTTTCTAACATATGTCACTTGGCTAGTTGTGGAAACTGCATGACAGAGTGGAGAGGACAAGGGAGGATTTCTGTGAAAACAACAACTAACTTGTCTCCCGCAACCACTCTGGGATTCCAGAAACACAGCACACCTCCAACATTTTCTTTCAGTAGGGAAATATCACCAGTGTGGATCTTCTAACTGTAGCATCTGAATGGGAAAGGCCCTTAGGTACGTAGATATGTGAGCCTGCAGAGGACTCCATGGTGCCCACAGAGTCGTCCCCCCCCCCGAAACCAGTCTTGAAAGAAGCATTCATAACTTATTGAATATGTTCCACAGTGTGTGCTTGGTTGCCACGCAAGTGAGGTGCCCACAACAGTGTCTCCAGCTTGCAAATGTACCCACAGGCCCCAAAAGAGGTTAGTGGCCCCTGATCAAACTTAAGCATGGGGAACTGTTTTCAGCCCTTGGGTCACAATCCCTTGTGGAGGGGAGGGGATATGCAAGTGGCAGGCGGGGGCACAGCCAAAAGTAGGTGGAGACATGGCAAAAGTGGATAGGGCTGTGACAAGCGCGCACACACACACACACAGAGAGAGAGAGAGAGAGAGAAAGAGAGAGAGAGAAAGAGAAAGTGAGTGAGTGAGAGACCCACAAATAAACTCTTTTTCTCTCACACACACCATTCCTACCACATAGAACAATTGGGAGAGGGGTGGGCAGGACACTAGCCAACATCCTTAGGAAATGTATGTAACAAAGTTACAACGTATGCTGTATTTTGAAAATCCGAAGGCAATAGTTATTTTATTTATTTTTATACTACCCTTCCTAACAGATGCAAAGGAAAGAGGTGGGTTTGCCCTGCCAGACTTTAAACTTTACTATGAATCAGCAGCTTTTTGCTGGTTGAAAGAATGGCTGCTTCTTGAAAACACTGACATTTTGGATCTAGAAGGCTTTAACAATCTATTTGGATGGCATGCATATCTGTGGTATGATAAGGTCAAAGCACATAAAGCATTTAAAAAACCATATTGTCAGGAAAGCATTGTTTAATGTTTGGATAAGATATAAGGACTTATTGGAAAATAAAACCCCAAGGTGGCTGTCACCGATGGAAGCGAAAGCTCAGAAAAAGCTCAATATGGAGGTCAAATGGCCGAAATATTGGGAAATTTTGGAACAAGATGGAGATAGACTGAAATTGCAGAGTTTTGAAAACTAAAAAACAAAGTGCGAGACTGGCTTCATTATTATCAGATAATGGAGGCATACAATTTGGACAAGAAAATCGGCTTCCAGGTGGAAAAATCAAAACTAGAAACAGAATTGTTAGAACCCAAAACTAAGATTTTGTCAAAGATGTATAACTTGCTGTTGAAATGGAATACTCAGGATGAAACGGTGAAATCTGCTATGATTAAATGGGCACAAGACGTTGGACATAACATAATGATGGCTGACTGGGAACAGTTGTGGACCACAGGTATGAAGTTTACGGCATGTAATGCCTTAAGAGAGAATATTATGAAAATGATATACAGGTGGTACATAACCCCAGTCAAGCTTGTAAAAATCTACCATTTGCCCGATAACAAATATTGGAAATGTAAAGAAACTGAAGGTACATTCTTTCACCTTTGGTGGACGTGCCCAAGGATTAAGGTTTTCTGGGAGATGATTTATAATGAATTAAAAAAGGTATTTAAATATACCTTCTTAAAGAAACCAGAGGCCTTTCTCCTGGGCATAGTCGGCCAATTGGTGTTAAAGAAGGACAGAACTTTCTTATGTATGCTACAACAGCAGCAAGAATACTTATTGCAAAGCATTGGAAGACACAAGACCTACCCACACTGGAAGAATGGCAGATGAAAATGATGGACTACATGGAATTGGCGGAAATGACTGGCAGAATCCGAGACCAGGGAGAAGAGTCGGTGGAAGGAGATTGGAAGAAATTTAAAGACTATTTACAGAAATATTGCAAAATTAATGAATGTTAGAATGATGTTGGATTGAAGTTAAGTGGTTTCTAGCTGTAATGGTAAAAGAATATGGAAAAATTGGATTTTCAATAGGTCAAAACTTAATGATATAATATATTAAGATTAAAGATTAGGATAAAATAAGGAGGGAAAGGAATTGTTGAACTAATAAATTGAACCGGAATACAAAAAAGGGAGGCATGAGGAGGTCCGGGAAACAAGTAAATGAAAGATAAGTGATGAAAAGATGGAATTGTTTTTAATTGTTTTTTTTTTTTGTATTTTGTATTTTTCTTTTCTCTATTTTTCTTATCAATGTAATCTTTTTTTTGAAACTTTAATAAATATCATTTAAAAAAAAAAAATTTATACTACCCTTCAGTCATATTTCCATGGCAGTTTATCAATCAAACAAACAATTAAAATCCAAATTCAAACAAACGAGACGAAAAGGCCCCAAAATCAGACGGACAGCATAAAACAACCAGCAAGATTAAAACTGATTTTAAAAAGCTTGGAGAAACCACATTGTCATCCCCCCCCCCCCCCCGATGACAGGCGAGAATTCTGCTTGTCTTGAGGAGACTCGGAACAGGTAAGAAGGGCAGAGAGACTGGTGGATGAGGCCTTCAGGAACATTATAGCTGTGCCCTGCTCCAACGATGACAGCTCCCTGGCTGTCTGGGAGGATGAGTGTCTCAGGAAGGGAAGCATCACTTTGAGGCAGAGGGAAACATTCCCTTAGGAAGAGTCCTTCCTTTGTGGGGCAAACCTCTCATGCCAAGGAAAACTTCTTCGAGGGGTGGAATGATCATGGCAGTGGGCGAGTCAGTCATTAAGAACATAGATTGTTGGGTGTATGGGTGTATAGATAGAGAGTTGCCCGTTGCCTAGATACTTTAGCCTGGTAGATGGTTTGGAAAGGAATCATGGCACATGTTGGCACTGATGACATGGGGAAATGTCAATTTGTCAGTTTTTATTTTGTCCATTAGGCCTAGAACTTAATCTTTTGCTACTATGGCTTGCCTTAGCTCCTCTGTATTTTTTATTGTGGTATTCTTCTCATGCTTTTGTCGTTTTAATGATGTCTTATCGTTGTTTTACTCATTCTTTGTTGTTAGCAGTTCTGTGCTCCAGACTCCAGGAAGTACCCAATAAATAAATAAATGCACAAAATAAATGTCTCCCCCTAGCATTGTGTATGTATTCTTATCATTACATCACAGAGAGGGTCGCTGCTGCTTGTAATACGATGAAAACTCACTTTACTGGAATGAATGTATGTGGGGATCCTCAATGTGCCCCTGTGACCCAGAGTAAGAGCTCAGAGAGATTTTTCTTATCTATCCATCATCCTCTTTTATTCTTCAAGGAATATTTCCAGGTTCCCAGCCCTTA